AGGTATGTTTCACAGTAGTGAGAATGTGAAATGAATAGTGAAATCAAGTCCAAGTTTTGCTGTATATTTATTGTCAAAATGAGGTTTTAGACAGAGTCCCATTGTCTGCTGTACAATTTCTGCCAGCTAAGGGTGGGATAACAACTAATAAATTTTTCATGGCATTTCATTAGATGAAGAAATCATTAATTACTCATTTCTCCTGAAAGCTGGTCATCTACCATCAAGAATGGAAGATCTGCCGAAAACAAGACTTGTTTCTTGTGATAAATGCTCAACTGTATAGCTAGGCAAATAGGTTACACCAAAGTCAATAGCATGGTAGCAGCTTTTTCTTACCCTCTGATTCCTGTGGCTCTCCTAAGATGAAGAAAACCATTTAGCAGCTGCACAGCTCTGTGCAACGGTTTAATTGTGTGTGGAGCAGGACTGAGTATGCTGAATTAGTTCACGGAGAGCTGATAATAAATGAGGGAAGGGAGACTGACTCCCAGCTGAATAGTTTATTGCTGTGGCCCATGTTTGTAATCCAGAAGAACAGGAGATTGCTGGCTTTAGTTACACTTCCAGTAGATGAATTACACACTTGGTGGCTGCTCTCATTTGGCATGTAATAATCGATACTTCTCTGCTTACTCACAAATGGGTGTAATAGCAGAGAGCTACCTGAAGATCTGGAGAAGGAAAAAAAGTTTGTCATCTTAAACCAACCTTATATGCATTCAGTGCTGACAAGCTTTTGCTGTATAACGTTTTAGTGTATTCTTATTTTTCTGCAGATTTACTGGATGCAAATGACTTGTGGACCTTTTAGCCCAATCATGGGGTACTGCAGCTTTTTCAGCTCCTTGAGCTTCAGGGAAATCTCAGCCTCTGGGGCAAGCAGGAGCAATTTTAGGAGAGCCCCATGGCACTGCCCGTGTCCTAGGGACATCAGAACACAGTGTCAGATGTGACCTCCTTGGGAGGAGCACAGTGGTGAGCAGGAGTGAGGCCTCCATGAGTGCAAAACCCACCACAGTTACATCAGCTTGTTCCTCATCCTTGAGCGGGTCGTTACAAGTTTATCTTGATTTGTGCCCATGTCTGTACGCTTACCTACACGTGGCAGATGAGTGTTTTTGTAAATGCACTTTTCACTCACTGTTGAATGCTTAGGTTCCTCCCAAGACTCTTGCAAACAGTATCAAATTCTTAGAAACCCATTGTCTGACCTTTTTCTTTTGGAATATTTATTAGTGTACAACAGCTACAGACTTACTGAAAGCGGTTAGGGGTAGCAGCAGCAGTAGGTAACTATTACTAGTGTGCAGTCTTACTGTTTTTAAAGCACAAGAGTAATTAGCTATTTTCATCCTTGTTGAGTGCAATTAGATTCAAATATAAACTTCGCTTAATGAACTTCGCAACAAGTAAGGGTTGTACCACTGTTACGAAGGCCAGTTCCATATCTGCGTGGTGATTTTCTTCCTGCATTAGCATAATTAAATTTAAAGTAAGATTGGCTTAGAGGAGTAGTTTGTTTCATTGCACCTCTCAAATGAATGTGTGTCAGGGAATATGAGTGGAAAATGTCTGGAAGTAGGCAGCGTGCTGTGGTGTATTGCGTTTCGCTGACATGAGAGGAATGTGGCAGTGAGGTCTACGGTTGCCTGCTGTAGGCACTAGCACTCAGGCTGAAAAGCAGCTTGAGATGTGCTTTTTGCTTCATTAGGCAAAAGGCTTTATGCCTGTGGCATGAAGCGCTATAAAACATGGTGGAAGTATTATAGTGTATGTTGTTAGATAGGATTGCCAGTCTCAAACATCTAAAATTGCAAGTCAGATATTCCAACATAAAATCTGTCTCGAAATTAGGGATATGGGTTTTTTTTTTCCCTTTTACTTCTTAAGATTCATTTATTTTAAAGTGAAAGCTGGGATCATCACTGAAAGATGAGGTCCTCACCTGACTTCAGGGCTTTAAGAAAAACACCAAATTTCAAACAACTTGCAAAAAAAGGTCATAAACGTTCTTAACAGTGAGCCAGGCATCTTCTGTAGAAGCTGTGTGATTTACAATGCAAAGCTTATACAATAAGATCTAAAAACCAGGGACACAAAATGCAGCCTGAGCTCCTGGCACTTGCAGTTTAGTTGAGGTTTGCTTGCCTTTAACAAATGTCACTGTGCTGGCTCATGTTATCGAGCAGCCAGCCAAAAGGCAAAAAAAACCCCAACCAACAAAACAAACAAAAACACCAAAAAAAAAAAACCCCAAACCAAACCACCCCAGTCTGGAAAGCCTGTGTTGTTGGGGGGAGCCACGGAGAGGCAGTTTGTAGACCTTGCAGCCAGTTACCTACAGCTGATCCATACCTAGTGTAACTTCTGCAGCCTCTCAGAGTTTCATCCTGTGCACGTTGGGGTCGGGAGCAGGACTCCTGTTTACAAGAGCAAGCATGTAATGCTGGGGGATGCATTAATTTCCTTGTGTTGTCTGCATCTTCCAAAGAAATGTCAGCGCTGACTCCTTCCCTGAAAGGGAAGGTGCAAGGGCTGATGATGTCCGAGATTTTCTCCCCACTGCTGAAGCGGCAGGCTGTAGCTTTAGGATTTTGAACAGCTGCACTGTTAGCAAGCAAGGAAGGAGCGTTCATGTTTCTAGGAACTTTTGCAGCACTGGAAAAGCAATGCTAGGGCATAAGCACAGGCATTTTTAGGATCCTTTGTTCATTGTTCCTACTGACCTCTGCTTCAGTCCCAAAGAAGACAAACTACAACACCCACGCTTTGGAAAGACTAAGATCCAAGAATTTGAGTAATTGAAGAGGATTTTTAATGTAAAACTCAAGTTTGCTGGTTTGGAAAGCGAGTGCTCCTGTACGTAGGTTAGACACTTGGTAGGTGAGCTGTAAATCTGCTTCTGTTCTATCTGTCTGTCTTGAACTCAGCTGAGATCTTTTTCTGCTGTGCAACCCTAGAAGAAACAACAATTCTTGAAATAACATTTTAGCACCATAAACACTTCTCATTTGATGCTCTGACATTTGGTGTTGGCAGCTCAGCCTGCCTCTTCAGCATGCGTCTGGCTGTCACCATTCAGCCAGTCCTTTCCTGCACAGCTAGTTTAGATGAAAATCACCTTTCTCTCAAGAGTGCTCCAAGTGGCTCTTTAACATGGCTAAGCCTCAGGAACTCTCTCATGCGAATATAAACTCGCTCTTAGGTCAACATTTAAAGCATCATTTTCATTGTTTTCAAGAATCCTATTAGTTATAGAGGAATGATAAATAATCCAGCGGTCTGGAACCACATCGTTCTGGCTCAGGGAGCTGTTACCACTACAGATGATGCTTTAGGTCTTGGAGGTGTATGTGATGCACTCTTGTACTCTTGGATCTGGCAGTTCACCTAATGGTTCAAGGTAATTGAAGCCCACTGAAGTCTGCAGGAGGTATCATTCAGTTTGTAAGTATTTCCTCCACCTCCAGTGGAAACATTTATAGTCAGAAGCAATGCCTTGAAATGTTTTACCACTGTCATATTGATAGGAAAAAAAAAATACAGATATAAAGAGGTTGTGTGCATTAATTATTTATCTTGCAATCAAGAAAGTATAAAAATAATCCAGGGTGAAAATTGGGAAGGGTTGTAAACGAAAGCACTGGCTCTTTCAATTTGAATAATGCAGACCCCATTCAAGCTTTCTCTGCAGAACATGACGTCTAATCCCAGCACAAGTAAATACATGGTTTTTTTCTCTAAAACAGATTTTTAAAACATGCAGCTCTTGCAAGGAGATTAATTGTGCTCACTTGGCTTCAAGTGAATAATTAAACTGTGAGGAGTTATTTTCCTGGCTCCTGTGTAATGTTTCTTACTTACTAATTCCTAGATATTCAACTTTTAGACTTTTTAGCGTCAATCAAGCTCTGTTTCTATTGTCTGAAAAGTAAAATATGTAAAGGAAAAACTGCCACAGACTTAAATACATTCTATTGTTACAGCATAAATATCATCATTGTAATTAAACTACTTGAAAATATGAACCATCAACAACTACTGTCAGGGGCTCAGCCACCTATGGGATTTTCATGCCTTTGAAAACCTCCCCAGAGATCCAGTGTGCTTTGCTTCTCTTGATTGTTCTTGAAATAAAATTAGCTTTTAGTCCTTTAAAATCTGTTGGCTTTATCTGCTACTAAATGTACATGTGGTAAGTGCTGTGGGATCAAAACAAAAACAAGTTGCTACTCCTACGCTTGTAGTTTTGCTGGGATTTGCGGTTTGGCAAAAGTCAATAACCTGACTCTTAACTGTATTTGAGATCATGGTGGATTAAGGTAGATCCCTTGGCTCAAGAACCTGCAAGGTACTTCAAATCAGGGGAAAGAGCGAATAGAAAAGAGACTGGAAAAGGATGAGAGAAGGCACCTGAGAAGGCAGGTAGCCTGTTCCTGAGGCAGAAGTAATGACGCCTGTGTTGCTCCTTCCAGACATTAGCCTAGCGCCCTCTTAAAAGTCTCTGCTAATAGAGATTCTGTCACCTAATGAAGGCTTGGGCAGATTTTTTTCCTGTTAGAAATGTTTTCTTGGTGGCTGACTCACTCCACCAGGTGCCTGCAACTTTATCCTTAACTTGCTGCCTTTTTGGGGAGAGTAGGATGATGCCATGCTGAGGAAGTGAAAGGGGACGGGGAGGGAAGTGCTCAGGCAGTGGGAGGAAGGTCATGGAGATGAAGAGCCTGGATGGAAAGCCCTGGGAGGATTAGGAGGAGGAGAAAATGTTACCCATCCAGGCTGCCTGTCATCGTGTTTCTCACTACTGATGGGTTAAACTTCCTGATATTTTTTAAATGCTTTAGACAGATACTGAATAAAAGCGAAGTTTGGAATCTAAGCACAACTTCAGTGATGGAGAAAACCTCTGGGTTCCATCTGCAGAACTAAAAAATAGTAATATGTTGACAGAAAGATGTGACCATAACGCCCTTTTCCTGTCTTTTCTACCCTCACAGATGAACAGGAGCCAGCAGTCAGCAGTGATTCAGATATTTCATTGATTATGGCAATGGAGGTTGGACTGTCCGATGTGGAGCTTTCCACTGATCAAGACTGTGAAGAGGTGAAGTCTTGAAAAACAAACAGAGATCCAACACTAAACTACAGGGGAGGGTCACAGGGAGGGACCGAGTCAGCTTTCTAGGATTTGGACCAGTCATGCACATGCCTCCAGAGCACTGTCACTCCTGCACACTCCATTCTGAGATGGTCACGAAAAGCAATAGCAACAGTTGTGTCTGCCTGGATGCAGTTTCATCATCTACATCCCTTCATTTTGTTCACATGGGAGATGAACGCTTCCAGTTCACCCACGTGCTTGAGAGCAGTCATGTAACTCTTCAGTGGCTCATAAATACGCAACTGAAATGACAGCTTGAGTGTTTTCTACACTTGTTCAATCGAGTTTTTGGTTTGGTTTTTTTTTTTTTGAGAAGACGTATGTTTGTTTTGTTTGTTTGTTTATAGTTTGTTATGGATGGGCACTCTGTTTTTCTTGACTGACCCCATCTTTTTCAAGAGTTCAATCCAGAAATCTGAATTCCTGTTCACTGGTCACTTCATGATCTGATTCCAGGATTTATCATTGCCTTGTTATTTCTGCATGAAGTACACATGGCTTCAGAAGGATGGTGCACCATCACCCTGCATTAATGTGAAGCCTGCTTTCATTAAGTTGGAGCCTTGGAAATGGTATATTCTGAAGGCCTTTATTTGTAAGAGAGCTCTGAATTAACAGTGATTGCTGAGATTTGAGTTAAAACTGCATTATGTTGGCGCTTTTACATAGAGCTCTGTTCTAGACAAGAATCGTACAGTGTGAAGGAGAGAAAGAAAAGCTTAAAGCTTTACTCCATCCTTGTAGTCCTTTTCTATATGTTATGCTATTAGCAATTGTCAGTACATTAATAGCCTTCCTTCAAGTCACAATGCAGTAGCTGGAAAAGAAGATCTTGTATAACATCATGTCTTTTCTTAATTTTGCAGACCAAAATCTGACCGGTAGGCTAAAGGAGTGTCTGAGAGGTTTCCAGAGGCTGCTTGTTAAGAGCTGTGCATTACACGGATGACAAGAATATTCTTAGAAAGGGTCTGGAGATGCTGATACCAGTGTCAGAAATTGCTAATGAAGCAGGAGGCAGCTGGTTGAAATGTTTACTTCATGGTTTGTCTGGGGTTTGTTTTTTTCTTAGTGCTTTTCACTTCTTATGTTTTGACAGCAGTTTTTGCCTGCTTGTTATGGAACACAAGAGTTCAGGTTGTTCCTTGCCCTCCAGAGTCCCAGTCAACATTGTCACAAGCATAATGGAATACTTGCAATTTGTATATAGCTATATATACCAAAATGTTTTGGGTAGAGGGGAGGGAATTTGAAAATTAGGAGAACTAACATAAATCAAAACACCTAAATAATAATGACCGGTGATGATTATTTAGTTCATCCTGAGCTCTTCTTTCCAGGGAGAAGCTTATTGCTACTCATTCAGTGTACGATTTCATTTTTCAGTCAAAATACTCAACTGTGAAGAAGCATTTTTAACTTACTGTTCTACAAGAGTAAATGGTTTCTGTTGACAGTCAGATGATCTGAATCACATTACTCCCTCCTGAGTAAGTCCATAGAATCAACAATTCATCTTGCATCGAAGTTTCATGGAGAGGTCAAGCATTTCGACTTGATGGTGTCATGGCAGCATCTCAAAAATAAGGGTTCTTGCTGCTTTTAATCTCCTTGTGGATTTACCCATTAGATGTGGAAACCAACTTCCAGCCAAAATTCGGTATTGTCAGATATTACTCAGGAACAAATGTGTTGAGAACTATCCCTAAAATTTTGGCCAACTTGCTTCTTTAGTAGCGGAAGAAGGAAAAAAATTGTATTCCATGCTTTTCAGTCCAGTTAGAACTCAGTTCATTTTATAGTTTTCTTTTTTTTTAATGTTCTTAGTCCCTAAATTGCAGGGTAACTTTGAGGCAAAGGAGCACAGCCTAATCATCGTTCAAACCATGATCCGGAAATGTCCTGTTACATTTTTTTAAGCCATTTGAAAGGACATCTCTTTTTAATTAAAGAGATACAGGCAGCTGGAAATCTGCTTGGTTTAAAAAGAAAGTTAGAGATCGCTCCAGAGGGCACAGCTAGGTCAGTCGTGCCAATATTTGTGGTTCTGTAATCATATTTTCCTCATTCTTTAATGTCTTCTCTATTGCTTGCTGCTATGGGAAAGGCCTACAGTGTCAGGGGAACCGATGCTGAAATTCACCCCTACACAAGAGAGTTTGCACAAGGTATCAGTTTGCACAAGGCATCAGCTCCACTTATGCTCTGGAAATAATGCTGAAATGGGATGTAGATGGTGCTTACACCAAATACTGGCCCTTCACACAGGAATGAAATTATTCTCAAATGACTGCAGGGGAAAGAGCGAAGGTGATTATACACAGTCAGCTCTCCCCATGGAAAGTATGCACACTGGTACAATTTCTTCTCTAGCGCTGGAGCCTGGGTGCTACATGTCACAGGCACATCACAAACACGATGTCCGAGTTGTCAGCCGTCCTTTAACATCTGCCCACTGCAGCACAGTGCACAGACAAAAAACTCCTTTGGTTTCAGAGGAGCTGCCACGAAGTCTTTGTTTTATTTTGCAAACTTAATTAAGTTAATCTCAATCGACAGACTGACCAATTATCTGTTGCCGTAGCGAAGTCAGCCACAGCAGAGCAGAGCAAGCAATGGCTGTGGAGAAGCAAGGCAGGAGGTGAAACTCCCAGCTGACACTGACCTGGGTCCTTTGCCCAGCAAAATCATTCAAGGGAGCTGTGCTCAAAGGGGTATCGCATGGATGGTAACTGAGACCCTGCCCATATTTTTCGGAGTTAGTGAAGAAATTTGGAGAAGGATTGCGGTGTGTTCTCTTTTCCTAAGTATTGCCTACTAGATGTGATCCCTCGGGGTCCACAGGAGCCCACTGGCAGGGGCAGGGTGCTAGGCTGGGTGAGATGTTTTTACATATCACCATAACTGTGGTCTTTCAAAAGGGGCATCCTCACAAATCTGGGTCAGGAGTCTTTCCGCTTTTGTTTTCCCAGTTCTGCGTGCAGTTTTGCTCAGGAAAGATGTTTTTCCATCCCTGTCCTCAGGTGTTCCTTAGCTCTGAGTACTGCTAAGCGATAACGAGCGCCAAGCCAGGTTATACATGACTGAAGCCAGGAAAGCACTTAAGTAAATGTTTTATTCCATCCTTCTTCAGAAAAGCACTTACAACTAGTTTTGGACTTGTACCAAAATCACGTTATTTTCAAGAGGTCTTCTATAAGCATAATTAAGTCTCTGTGTCAAATGGAAATGTTTTCCTAAAGCGGGACCTGGCTGACTATTCTTTGTATCTATAACCTGTGAAATGCCTTGGGAATTTGAGGTGCTTCATAAATATTAAGACCCCCAGATGTACGTTTGTAACACGTATGAAAGCCTTAATTCTGCAGATCTGCAGGCCCATGCACATTTTTGCTTACGTGAGTCTCTCCACTGAGATATCTCACAGGGTAAAATTAAACCTCCCAATTCACAGCTTTGGGCAAGATTAGTCCCATCCTGAGCATTGTGTGAGTCCTCCGTACTGCTGCTCGCTAAGCTTGAGCTCTGGCACTAAATATGTGGGATTCGGATGCTGAGGACACGGCGCTGCCTGTTCGGAGGGGAAAGCAGCCTTTAGCACGCAGCCAGGAAAACACAAAATCCTCTGGTGCCCTCTGATGAACAACTGCTCGTGCTGTACATAATTCTGCAGGCTCATGCTGTCAGTGCCCGCAGGCGGCAGGATTGAGGGGCACCTCCTGCATGGGGCCAGTAGCCAGAGGACCCTCCAGGTCTTGGCTTTAAGCTGGTCTTGTGTCTCTCCAAGCTCTTCTGTCCTGTCATGTGAGGCTCTTCTCTTTTCTGTGAGTGAGTAGGAGGTGGGAGAAGGATTCACTTTTAGCGAGGCTCATCTGCACTCGGGCTGGCTTGCAGGATGAAACTTGGACAGACGGAAACTGTGCTCTGAGTATCCTTTGATTTTTCATGGCTTTCGCTGAACTGCCTTCTCAAAGGTCTGGTCAATGGGTAGGACACGTAAAAAGTTGTACGGGCAGAGATTTGCACTCACAAGCGACCTAATGTGTGCGTGCAGCCGTGCAAGGCACCAGCTCCGCATCCCCTCCCCGCGGCTGACCCATTCTGGTGGGGATACAGATCTGGTACTTGCTGAGGGTGTGGGGGTTTTTTATTTTCTGACTGCTTTAGAGCCTCAAAACCAGGATCAGGGTGATCATAGCACTGCCGTTCATTCTTTAAGCATTCTATGGAATTAAATTACCATGTATGCATATAAAAATACATTGATATGACTATGGAAACTGTATTGTAGTGAAAACAGAAGCAGCTGCCATTTTTAGACTTTTTATATGAGGGATACTGTGGCACTAAAGAAAAAGGCTTTATAGAGTCAATTTGGAAAAAAAAAAATTGAAATCACATATGATAAGTCCCTCAGACCTCATTACTTTAATGACCACTGGATCAGATCCAGAGGAAGTCATTGCAAGAAGGGCAGCACTTTGCCTCTTGTTGAATGACTCGTTTGGGATACATTCTTACTTTGTTAACAAAATGAACCCAAGCACCAGAGATGGATCCAGCTCTGAGTTTAATCTTTCTCAAAGAATATGCATTTTGTGATTCAAAGTTGTTCTCGGCAAACCTGTTAACCCACCTTCTTCTCCCCCTTGCTAAATGAAGAGAAATGCTTGTCCAATTTGAAAAATGTCTAGCTCAGAAGACCTTTGCCTATGTACCGATAGCCCCGGCAGATATCTGCAGGTCACTTAACACCTCTATGTGCTTTTAGTCATCAGTACAACACAGATTTTCCATAAATTGTGTTTTATTTGCCATTCTTGTTAAACCTGCAATGCAGTCGTTGTAGAGATTTTCCAGAGTTTTGCCTTACAAACTTTTCCTTTGACTATATGCCACAGCCCTTTGAGCAGATTCTGTGATTAAAAGGCAAAGACTGGGGCAAAGTCTTTCTATAGAAATCTCTGGACTGCAAGGCCTCCTTGTGACAAGTGGTCTGTACTGAAATGACGATAGAGGTTGTGCGTAACAGCGGGAAATGCCTTTCAGCCCAGGCAGCTGGGAATCTCCCAGGCTTTGTTTATAAGAGGCTCGTTCCTTCGTAGTCTCTGTCTCTAGAAAAGCTCATGATGAAGCATACAGTTTGAAATAAGCCAGGATAGGAATTTATAGGCTTTGCAAGCCAAGAAAACCAATAGTTGTTTATTAATTTCTATTCGTTAGCAATAATGGACTTTTTTTAACCATTTGTTG